AAAAGCACAAATCGTAAAAGAATTTCAATTAGAAGGTGAATTATTATTTTCTGATAGTTTATAAAATATTCATTACTCAATTATGTTTTTTTAAATTTCTCTGTAATTGTTCTGACCACTTTTTTCACGCAATTAGAATGCTTGCAATTAGAACTATCTTTCCTCTTTCATTCTTTCAGTTTTATTTTCTAATGAGTTATTAATGCTCTAGTAATTCATCAGAGTGTCCTCGACTTACGTTAAATAACAAAGGTTGCTTGTCAATGAGACGTCAATAATCATGTGGCACATTAAAGTAAAACGAATTTATTGCTTCATTTCGCAACGGAATATTTCTATGAAATATTACTGAACACGTCAGAAGTTAATCGAAATTTCTTCTAAAATGACATTTCATACATCAAGGTATACTTTTTCCATCGATGATACATAGTCTGTCAATTGTATGTAAAAAAAAAAAAAAATCATTCGGGATGAATCACTTAATTCTGCCTTTCTTCAAATTATTCAAAGTCCATTTGCTAATAAGATGTGATGCTAATTAAGAAAATCATGATATGGATTTCGCGATTGAATAGTTTCAAGAAATTACTGACTCTTGAATAAATAATCTAAGTAAGCAGTAAGTGATATTAAAAAATCTGGCACTGTTTCGAGGCAATGAGAGAACGAAGGATGCGCAGAGGAAGTGGAAGAAAGCGGAAATAAAGGTTAATATTAAATCGCTTTCGCAGGAGAGTGATTCGTTGTTACGGAGATGGTGCATGTTATTGGAAAACGGGCGTGGTTACCTAAACGGCTTACCTTGCAAGAATTATACATGGATGTATGAGAGCAGAGCAGCTGTATGGGTGGATATCTAAATAATTTAATCGATGTCAACGTTACTGACATTTTCCAGCTCGAGTACTTCCATTATTTTCGTCCAGGAAGAGGAGGAGAGTCGTTATTATACCTCGAAGCTCATTTGACTGGCGAATAATGCAGAATAACGCGGGGGTAATTGGCGATACTTTTCTTCGAACGAACTAAGTTACAATTTCTTGGCTAACTGCTTTTACGATAGACGTTCGCAAAAAGATTTGTGAAGAGACTTGTTGATTAGTTTTACACGTTTACGAGGAGAATTTATTGGTAAAAGAAAAGGAATTAAAGTTTTTTTTAACCAAACTTGCATCGATCAGTGAGATCACTTTTTATAAAAAGAATCATTAGTTTTCCTTTCTTGGAAACATATAATATTTATTTATATTATATGTATATAATATTATTTAATACTTATTAATAAAAACTATTATTTATTAATAATAGTAACAAAATTTCAACAAAAAGAATTGTAAATGGCAAGGTAGGCTCCCGTTTATACTGAGATCGTTTTTGCAAAATTCTCGAACATGCGTAATGAACTATGAATCAAATAACGTGATAGATTTCTCAATTTTTCATTCTTAATTAAGACTTATAGGATATGATAATCTGAAGAATTTTCGTAACTTCTCTCATGTCTCTAAGATTTTACTTCAATGAGGAAATAATTAGTAAAAAATTAATGTTATATAACTTTTTTTTGAAACGATTTTTCATATAACAAATAATACGAGTTAGATGAACCATCTTGCAACAATTGAACGCGAAGGGGATAGATAACAAATAACATATCTGTAAAAAAATATGTTTTCACACTAGTGGCTATTGATATTAATCGAACACTATGCTAATATTGCGCACGTCTGATATTTATTCTAGAAAGTCAATCGATTGCAAAGGTACCAAACAGATAAATCCTAACATTATTTATTCAAAAACTTATAAAACTGAATGCTTTACGAATACCAAAAAATGTGTTTCCTTCCCTAGTAATCGTAATTTATAAAATCATTGTAAAGTATAATCATTGGTTGATTTGTATATTAGATTTTCATACAAACATTTTGAAACAAATTGGCTTTTCAAAAATGATCTTTCCATCTAACTAAATTGAAGAATCAGAACGTTTAAGGGAGTACATAGTAGCAGTGCAGTAGAAATTCGCCGTATTGGTCAGACAACATGTGGCTATCGAAAATTTCCAGCCGCAGTACAGTATTATCTTTATCACTATGAATATAAATGATCTGTTGCAGAAACATAGTATGCAACAACATTATTAAACAATGTTAATAACAACAATTCAACAATAATTTCTTTACATTTACTTTGAAATTAAATTTTCAACAACGAAGGAACCCAACTGGATTGTAGACTTTATTACATTTCGAAAATAAATGTTCTAATGAAAGACGCGTTTCAGAGATTCAGATTAAAAAAAAAAAAATCCTAATGTATCTTAAAAAATTCTTCAAAATCTCGTCCAAACCCGTGGCAAAGGGAATAAAATTTTGCTCGCTAAGAGAGACAGTCGTGTAAACAATGTAACAGTTGACTTTATAGAGAGATCAAGAAACCTATAACGATAGGAGTTAATCAATTTTCTACTACTCTACTGATTAATCTACTCATTCGAGAACCATCTGCTCGACAGGAACTTGACATTGAACCTGCAGCTCATGCACGCACACTATTGTACGTGTGGTGGCGAACAGAGAAGGGGTGGCCATTAACTCAAATGTATGCAAAACACATGTATGTACTACTAAAGAGAGTCATGGAAAAAAAGGATTAGGTGCGCATGGGCGTATCTATGACGACGATTGACTCTTGCTACGACCTCTAGTCGTTTCTAACAATCCATTTACAGCGTTATCACGCCGCGGCTAAGAAACCTCCGCCAGTGAAAGTTCTGTTCTGGAAGCCTCGCGGTGTCGGCCGTGGTTTTTCGTCGCTTTCGACCCGTGCTTTCTTCTTTCTCCTTGTACAACGATCGACAGTCGAAGTCGAGAAAGTCCTCGGGGCAAGTTCTGAGAACGATCGTGAAAAGAAAACGGGCAAGTTTCAAGTAATAGAAGTCCAAGAAGAAACGACTTTCCCCGTGGAGACATTTATTATGTAAGT